GAACTGTCTGGTTGACGCGCAAAGAAAATAGCAATGCTTTCTTTGTATCACATTTAGTACAACATTAGTTTTTTTTAATGATAATGACACTGCATCTGAATTTAATTTAGCGCATATGGGTCATAATTTTTCCGTGTATCGCATGCCACATTTATTCAATTCATTACAGTTCAATAGCAGGCATCATTTTTTCATCAATATTTAGCATTCATATCATCAGCAATATTATTTAGCGGAACGGACGCAAATGACAAAACCTAAACAATGTGGCGTAACACAATGAAATGAATCAGTCAATGAAAACTCAATCTGGGAACGGATTTGCAGCATAATTTCAATCTATACCGCGGTCGCAGGTCATAGTTCGCGAACGGTAGTGGTTGGAACGTACTGTCGATAGAAAAATACTATTTTAATTACTCCCCTAACCAATGTTTTGATGAAATACTTCGAACGGTTGAGTTTATTTCTTGCTTTGGTTGACGGATATGTTCCCGTTTTATTTGTTAGTTAAATTTTGATTAAGCTAGTTTAACCTACCTTTGTGTAGCATTTTATATATATGAATTATACTTAGAGGAACACGTAGGACTGTTATGCTTAGATGATAAAATCACTTATATACGTACATTGTAGCCTCCTCATTTTTGCGCACGATAACTGTAAGTTGAGGGATTCATTTGAGTTAGGATGAAATCTTTAATTTGTATCGGAATGCCGTTAAACTCTGAGGTTAGTGTGACGAAAAACTATTCGATCATTTTTTACAAATAAGTTTTTTAATTTATGTACTTTAGATATTTTTTCTTTGCTCTACGCCTAGAATTTTATTAAAAACCATTAATAGTCATTGGATAACAACTTTGTTAATGTGTACTATAGGATATTGCATGGAGTATTGCTACCATCAGTTGCCAATGAAAGCAAACGAATGAGAAATCTTTATACAATTCAACTCTTATTTTTCCGAAAACCTTACACGCGACTACCACATCCGGTGGACATACGTCACAAGCCCATGCGTGCAAAGGCATCTCACCGTGTGCATCTCATTAAATTAATAAACCTCCGAGGCAACTTCGTTACGGCGGGCAAACTTTAAAGGCATTCATCGTGTTCGCTACGTAAAATAGTTACCTGAAATACACTCCCGTCATAGTTTGAAGTTGTGCTCGCAACGTAATTTCAAGAGCGCGTTGCACTCCTAACAATGTTTGTTGTTGTGCACGAGGGCCAGCTTTTTGATTTACCACGATGATAGGGGCTGCCGTTTTTTTTCTGACTGCTCACAAAAATACTGTAACTCATTGGGGTGGGGTCTACGGGACTACGACGTAGAGTTAAAAAAAGTAAAGTAACAGTCTCCCTATATAAATCCCACTGCTGCACTCTGCGTGGTGGGCTTTACATAGTTTCGAAATTATTTCTTTTTCTTAAATTGTTATTACAAAAATATGCACTCTTTTTATGATTATTTCCTTCACCACAGAACACGCGATAAGACAGCATTAAATTGCAATTATCAATTTTATTTGTTCCATTACTTGGCTTTGAACGTAGGTTGCTCAAGTATATATGTAATGGATAACAGTGATCATAAATATAAATTGTAACATGAAAAGTATCTGAATGGCAATACACTTGTAGCCTACATTTTAGTCATGCGGTCAAATGTCCATTTCCGGTTTTAGATTTGAAATTAATTTCGTTACAGTAACCATTCGCGCAGAATTGGGAACTTTATTTCACCTGTTATGTTAACTAATTTGATACAATAATGAACAAAGAAGCCTTAAACTAAATTAATGTTACAAATAAATCATTCAACCTATATTGATTTTATTTAAGTCAATATTATGTCCTTAATTTGTTAATATTGTCCTCAATATTGTAATTAATTTGCCAATTGATAATCAGCTCTATATCATTCGCACGGATTGTATTCAATCATTGGCTTGATAACATAATTATGTTAACATAGCACAACAGTTTCATTTCCAATAGTGGATCCTGAATTTGTAGTAAAGCTGTTTGAGAAATATAATATAGTAATATATTTTATATAAATTACCCTCACCATAAGATAATCCACCTGTGTGAATAAAGAAGTTTTACATACATAAAATTCATGGTTACAAACACTCAGATCCGTAACAACCCGGCACCAAAGCCAATGCCTCGGTAACTGCGCCACGAAGTCAATATTTTCCAAACGAATTGAGAAATAGAATAATATGTTTGTAATCGACAGCAGATTTTCTTGCTTCTTCTCTGGATAGGTGTAAGTTGTTTAACAAACCCTAATTAAAAAGGCTTTTCCTTTAGGCTTCTAACAGAATATTGGACTTCAAAGTCTACATAATTATGATTTGCCTTTGGCCACCTGTTCTGAAATCTCGAGCGACGCTCATGGATACTTAACTTATTACTTTATATGATTTCAACTCTCTTAAAGAATAAATAATAATAATGTTATCCTATTCCCGTTTCTAAAACGATCGTATCTGCTTTTCGGTTTATTTAAAGCACAAGATAATTCGCGAATCTCAGTTTTTTGCACTATTCATGTGTCATTCCACTTTCTTGCTCCCGCAGCGGCTGCAGCGCTTAATACCCTACGCTTAGCCGCTGAACTTTCCGCGCGATGCGGGAGTTCGATAAAATTTAATTGCCTCCGGAACCCGACACCGCACGAAGTTGGGGCAGCGAAAGAAATCGCGAGCATCCGGATTAACTGCCCACCCGATACCTTAGGAAGCCTTAGGTGCTACGGCTTCGATTATTCCACGGTCCACTGCACTCGTTTGTGTGCCAATGTGCTAATAAAATTTTCCCCGGTAATTTCTCCTTTATAACGACGATCAGGGCAACAGTTTACTTTTTGAAATGATTTAAATGTGTACATATTATTAAGTTTCGTACTCGTATTAGTTTATATACTAATCATAAAATATTTTAGTTTAGATAAATGTGAGTTCGCTAAAATTCCCAAGGAGGGTTGTCGTCAGGCAAGCGGCCGATCATAAAATTAAAGCCAATAACTGAAATAACAACATGGTTCCGAAAATAAATGATGGATATGTTGTGCCGACCCCAACTATTGTGGAATTAGGTGAGGAGAAAGGAGAAGAATAATTTCTCCTTTATGAAGGTGGTCACGTACACGTTTGCATGGAAGTCCATTCATAATTATTTTTTTAAAGATGAACTGGTAAACGAGATCATGTTCTGGTTGCTGTTTTTTTAGTAAGTTGGGCAAAGTAACGGTCCAAAGTAACTGGCAGGCGCGCTCTTGTCAACTTTATGCCAAATGTAATAGCTATTTTTGTATCTCATCGGGATTAAAAGGCATAATATCTTGAGCTGTGCTAGATCACTCATTCGAGCTACTATCGTATAAGTGAGATTTACACACATAGTACACGCCAACTGCCGAATCAAAAGAGAACACAAGTTTCCGTCGTTAAGTATAATGGAAACAGGTCATTAAACGTCTGAACGCCAGCCCCGGCCGGCGTCGGGACTCGGAACGTGTTTCGAAGTTTCTTTCCTTCGAGACTCGTGGCCCATGCCGCCATTAAACTGATGTTTTCTGAAATGGATTACTCCTCTAGTGCGTTCTGTTAGTTTCAGAAAGTTGTTTGTGGGCGATTGCGATTTAAGTAAAAGCGAAACATTGACCAACATGTAAGGAGGACTCGTTCTACACTAACATGTAACATGACTGTAGATGATTTTATTTAATTAAAATATTATGTTCATAAAATATATCATTTTCCCATTTGAAAATGTAGGATATAAAAATTTGTACTATTATGTGTTTTTTACATTAAAGTAATAGTTTGGTGTTTGGTCCGTAAGTGAGGGGCACAGCAGCTCCTGATGTTGCAGGGTTGGGCAGGCCCGGATATATACGACGGCCTACAATATTGTGAAATTATGTAACGCGTTTAACTAAACGGTTAACTCACCGGTTAACTGGGTCCACCGTTTCAAGGCACGTGCAACACCTGAGTTATTTTAGATATCGAAAGTCACTTCAGCTCGAGTGAACTGCTCGCTTGGCAACACATAAAAAAAATTGAACGGCAATTTAAGTTTCTGTGGTTAAGTGGTTTTCAGCCTCCCTTAAGATGAGGAGAGATGCTTGTTCCATAGCAATCTCTTTGAAAAAGTACTGCGATCTTAAAGTAACGGGTTCGAATCCTAGTTACGTCAATGAGTTTTCCGTTTATCTGATTTCTCACCAGAATTCGAGTTGTTTCTCTGTGAAACATAGATGAACTATGTACCGTCTTAATGTTAAGGTTAAAGTTTGTTACAAAACGTGAAAGTTGACCACAATGAATACAGAAACAAATACTCCTATAAATAGCAAGAAAAGCAAAAGGCTTTACATTACAATTCTTGCGCATTATTTAAAAAAATCATACAAAAAACATAACGCCTTCGTGGTTTTCCATACTTGAAAAATATTGAGATCCATTTTGTGGTACATTTGCTATATGTTATTTGCTTACGTTAAAATACGTTGCGACTGACGCTGTATAATATTATTTCACTAAAGGCAGGTATGGTAGAAATAATAAAAAAATTCAATATAAATACCGAATAACGTTTAGGGACCTTTGAAGGCCTTCTTTGTATGTCAATTCATTCGACTGTCATGCGCATGTAAATGGCGTGTAACGAGGGGCCTTTTAAGTGTAGTTTTGTATATTTCCTGTGGTATGTAAATTGACAGTAGCTTTTAAGTTCCCTCTTTTGCTTTTTAATACGTTATTTTTTAGCTTATATTATTAAATTGCTGTTTCGTAGGCGTAATTTAGACGTAGGCAAATATTAATCGGACGGTAATAGATGTAACAAACATACAAACATAAAACTGCGTGGCTGTGGGCAAGTAACACTTGTACTTTAGTCAATTTAAGTAGACGTGCGTCGTGAGCGTAGGCGCTCCACATAAGCATAGACATGCTACGTATCCGTAGATGACTTCAGTAGACGTAAACATCGATAGCATACATAGCGTACGCCGTAGATGTGGTACGTAAACGGGGCCTACGGCGATCGCCTAATACGTGCCCGTAGCGGACCGTGAAATCGCACAACGGCCGGGCGCGAACAAAGCGGCTCGGGTAGGCGCTATCGCGTCGGAACCTTTCGTAGCGCCCTCGAACAATCCGCCGCCAAACTTCACGTCGGCGATTCAAAGCGAAATTATGTAGCGAGTAATTATTGGGCCGGAAACTGCGGTGAGAGCGGACGCCGCCGCGTAGCCGCTGGATGTGACAGGCATTCCGAGACATTTGTCTATACTTTACATAGGAATTTTAAATATGTTGCACACAATCAGATGTTGAAATCTTTTCATTGCACCAGAGATTGTTATAATTACATTATTCTTAATATGATGTTGTTAAAATTTCAATAGTGTTGTGAATTGTTTATGTTTCTATTAAACACAATGTAATCTATTCATGCCTAAAATTCAATGTGTGTATAGATTGTGATCGTTGAAGATTTAGATATTTCGAAGGTCTGGGTGCGAAAAAGTATCCGAAAAAGAAATAAAAAATATCAAAATAAATCTCGCTCTTAAATCAGCCGACCGGGATCTGTAACTGAACCAATTATTAATAGTTCACCGCCGCTCATGAACACTCGCATGTCAGATGAGTCACAAATACTGATTGCTGATCTTTAAAGGAAGGAATAAACTCTCTTCGTGAAGGTTCCTAAGTCGTATCGGTCCAGAAATATCGCTAGCGATAATTGATTCTTTCAACTTGGTCGTGTGTGGCAGAAGTTTACAGCAGTTTTTATTATTACTAGTAATGTATTAATGTCATTAAATCCCAATATCATCGTTTAACGCATTCATTCACAACACACTAAAAACAATAAGAAACAAACACACAAAAGGAACACACTAAAAATATACAACCATATCAGCTAAAAGTATTTGTCCACGCGTAACAACTCAATCCACTTAAAATATGGAAGGCACTTGCTTTATATTTTTTCCCTGACCCACGTCCAAAGTGCTTTCATTGACCGTTATGTTTATTCATCCGAACGTAATATAAAACACTTACGTTTTACGTGAATTAAAATTAATAAGTAAATACCTCACTATGCTTCGGTCTTTTGAAAAAGGCAATATCAGATACTTTAAGCGGTTATAATTATGTTAGTACTTTTTCCTTATCCGATATCTTGCTTAAATACCAAGAATAAGACACAAAGTAATGAATCTGAACAATTTTTGTACGCAGCTTGGCATTTTCCGCTGATTTCCACATAAGAGCTATGAATATTTTACCTGCGGTACGACTTCGCAAGAATATTAATAAGCGGAAATAATTCTTATATTAACATTAAACTTCGGTTGTCAATATTATTTCCGAGTTGTAGTTATTAATAAAAAAGATTTTCTAATATAAATATTTTGATAGTTATGTATAATTTATATTGTTATATAAATTAATGTAGATACAACTTAGATCTTTAAAACTACGTAACGGATCTTAATGCGGTTTTTTGATAGATAGAGTGTTCAAGAGAAAGGTTTATCTGTAGAATACATTACATCCGTGAGAAGCCGGAGCGGGTCGCTAGTAATTAATAACAGCAACATTTACATAATCATGTGAACTCTTTTTACAAAACTTTCTAAACTTTTTTAAACCGCCACCAGATTTTTTTAAAAGTCGCCACCAGATTTGAAAAATCGCCACAAAATTTTGACTTCTGGTGGCATTTTTACCGACATTAAAACGGAAAAGGTTTTTTTTTTTATCTTTATTAGCTAGGCCAACAGCAAAACATACATAAATACATACGAAAAACCTATTTGTATCTAAACTAACAATAGCAATATAAATAAAATAAACACTAACACTAGTAACATGAAAAAAGTCAAAAAGAAGAGAAAAATAGACAGACATTAAAAATTTAAAGGTTTTGTTAATATTCCTTATTATAAAACAAAGTCTCTCCCAATGTTTGTACGTTTCGATTTTTTTAATTACGGATTTGAATGCGTTTTTCAGAAATAGGTAAAGTTATTCAAGTGGAAGATTTATATGTAGGATACATGCATATTATAATAAAGAAAAGCCGAGAAATTTCAGATCTAAGTTGCACCCTTGCGAAGCCAGGCCGGGTAATAAATAAATTCTCCATTCGATCGTGTTGTTATTATGTTTGTTATTTCAGAACACAGCTATCTATGAACTGATTTTAAAAATTATCTTTCTATAGGGTTGAACTTTGCCCACTTGTGGTCCCACAATAATGTCATTTGTGTTGGATCTTGAATTCTGGAGATGCATAAAGGAACGACTCAAAATCATATGGACAATTTATGGTCATCGAGACATTTGAAGTCGGATTTGTTTTTTATTACTAAAACATTTTACTTGTAAGCAATACAATATTACTCTGCTCCTATAGGCAGATACGTAGATAAACGACCCGTAGGCAGACCCGTATTCGATCTCCATATATCGTTTATCTAATCATCTGATGAATCATCATCTGTCGAACCCGGTTAGTAGTATCTACTGTCACAAGGATTTCTCAAGCCCCTCTGTTAAGAATTTTCTTGTTAACAAAGCTGAAAGGTTCCCGTTTCATTCCACGAATACAAAATGAAAGCGACCGCCAAAAGAACATCCGCATTGACATTGGGAACATACAAAGGCTAACAAGATCAAATATCTTTATATTTGATCTTGTTACTGAACTACCAGCCGCAAAGCGCATTTCACAAACAGCACGCGAGCACGTCGGCTAATTACAAACGTCACTTGTAGAGCCGAAGTCTCTTCCATTCGCTGTATAGACGAGGGTGCCTCGACTCGGGCGCCCGGAAGTAAGACGCCCCCACCATGCCTCCCCCCTGCAACGGTTCAATCGGCTGATTAATACAAAGTTGTCCATTATTATAATTGAGGTATCCGAGTTTGGCGATTTGTTTTAATTGATAATTTGTGCGGCGGTCTGTGCCCCAATCGATGTCCCTTTGAAAACTCTCGTCTCGCTTTAAGGCGGGATTTCGCTACGGGCTGCTCACTTCGAAAGTTGAGGATGGATGCGCAAGAAACGGCTATTCGGGGGATCGGAAGGAGATCTCGGCCGCGTTATTAATTATCTTGTAAACTTCTTGCGAGTGGGAGTTTAGGTTTATTGTTTAGTAGGCATGAATTCGAATATCTGTACGTATGTATGTATGTACAAATATAGTGCGGACATTGAATATTAAATAAATAAATATTTTTCTAGGATACATTTTTACCCAACGTTCTCTAGTCCCAAACCAAGCAAAGCTTGTACTATGGGTGCTAGATAACTGATAGACATACTTAAACATACTTTTCTTTTGTAAATAAATACATATTATACATAGATATAAAAACACCCAGATACTAGAAAAACACTATGTTCATCACACAATATTTTTCCAGTAGTGGGGATCGAACCCACACCCCCTGGCACAGAAGGCGGGTACACTACCCACTACGCCATTCGGGTCGTCGAATTGTGAAAATCACTTTCATGGGCTGATTCTGATTGCCGTTGAAATCAGTCGCTACATAAATATAACAACGTTTTACAGTATGTTATTGGCTCAACATACTTTGAGAAATGTTGAAATACTTTTGAAGCTCTAAGCGCTCATGATGCTTAGTGATGTATACTAATCATTTTACAGCTCTTTAAAACTATTGTATAGATTTCCAATATATGTTAAGCCTAAAGCAATGCATGTACATTAGCACAAATTTGACATAATGAAAATACTATTTAGATCTGTGATAGATTTAGGAAAATATGTTTTAATCTTCTTCATCTTTCATCTTCATCTTTCATCTTCTACTTCGTGTTGTGGTACGAATAAATTGAATGTCATAATTTAATTTAAGAAATTCTTAAAATACGGTATTTTATTTATAATTTGATACACAACCAAGCACACATAATGTACACATATAAACTTAAATATATCAATATAACACTAACTTAGTCACCCGCAGCGTAGGCCCATCCAAATCGTCTATTGAAAACGGCGAGCGTTTCCTTCCCAATTTTCCGAGCGAGCCACTGGACCTCTGACGGAATTAAGTGAAGGGATTCTTTGGGGCGGATTATCTTTATTTATCTTCGGTATGAGTGTAATTAAGTTTTTTTTTTTTGATGGCGGTTGCGGTCCGTTTTATTTGATCCGAACTATTTTGGGGTATTATCCGGACCGTTTCATCTGTATCGTACGAAGTTTCAATTGAGAGATTGTTGTGTAATTGAATCTTCGACGTACAAAAGCCCCTCTTGAGGCTTGAGATATTCTTTTTGATCCCTTAAAATTTTTGTAGGCCATTACTATCTTTTAACCCTAACCAAGTGAATAGAATTAGGTATACGGTATATACGTAATTATATATATATATATATATATAGGAAATATAGGTATCTCAAACGTATTCTACTGAAGTGGAATATTGCCTATGGGCTAAACTATGATAAATGTTTCAGAGGTGCCAATGCAAGTAGATGATGACGACTTGCTATACCCCATACTCCTCAAGGAACATCGAGTTGCCAGGTTACCGTTTGCTATAGCAACTCAGATTAACCCTAAGGACAGATTTATGTTGTTCAGATTTTTTATACACGCGTTGGAAAATGAAGAGTATAGACGACAATAGTCATCGTTAACAATGTACAGTATCACGAAAATTAAATTTTAGACATTTATGGAATTTTGGATACTTTTGCAGGGTAATATTTATTTTTATTGCACTTGTAACTTTTAAACTGTAACTATAAGGGTATAATTTTATGTAAACTTTGAGGGTAAAAATGAACCTTTCGTAACCTTATATTTGTCGGTATTAATTTATAAAGCTGCAAATTTATAAATCATGAATAATGAAAATTTGAAAAAAGTACATTGATTTCTTGATTTTACACAAACATGTGATTTTATCGCGTCCTATTTTTAATTTTTAATTCTAGACGTTAACGAAATAAAATAAGAAAAATAGTTTCATTCAATATCATTCTTTTAATCAATAAAATTACTGTGCATTGGTGCTATGGTAATGACGTTTGCATTCCGAGGGCTCGCGAGCGCATAAACAAAGGCGACCTGTTGTCGAAGCACTTGGCGTTATTCATGAAAATTCCTTTTTCGTATCCCTATTTGCAGTGGTGCGTGAATTGGTTTCGGTACGATTTCGATGATACCCGATGTTTCAGCCACAATGTGCAGGCCTAGGATGGGGGTGGGGGTGGGCACTCCTAC